GACGGCCAATTCTCTCACATCAGGAGTCACTCCTGACATGACAAAAAAAAAAAAAGATAGCTAGATGGTGCATTAGAAATGCTTCCTAAAGAGAGTTTCTGCATTGCATAATCTTCTTAGAATAAGTATTGCAGAAGTGAGATGATATCTAATGTAACAGTATTGAGATATAGTATTTAGTTTCTCAGAAGTCTTTTAAAGAAAATGTTATGGTCCATTAAACAGTCTTTGACCTGAACTATAATACATAATACAGAGTTTGTTATTTTGGGCAAAAATGGCTATTACTGAGGTTTTGCATGTCTACCTCTAGGGACAATAGTGACTATTAGAGTTGTCACACAGTGGCTGAATCTCTGTTGACCTAACCATTAAAGACCCTCCCAGTTGACCTAACCATCAGACAATCTTAGCTCTTGTTGGTTGTTATCCTTATTCTTGCTTCTTGTCTCCCGGGGATGCAAATCAGATGTGTGAAGGTGGGAATATATCTCCTTGTTGCCCTGTGATCACCTTCTGGGCATTTGAGTAGATTGGACCTAGATGAAGTTGGGTCACATCCATAGAGCACACATTCTCCAATTGCCCCACTTTGGCAGGAATAGTACTGATTACACCTCAGTTGTTCCACTTTGAGATGTGAAATATGAAATGCTGGAGAGCATATGAGTCCTTTTGCCTATGGTCACCCAAAATCTAGAGACCATAGTGTTCAATCTTGACTGAAATATATGACAAAACCATTGAAACATAGAGCTAGAAGGCTTTCTTAGCAGTGAAGACAGCTCTGTTCAGTTGTCAGTATTCAGTGGTGAATACTCACAAACCTGCAGCATTTTTCTCATGGGACAAAATGAGATTCCACCAACTCATCCAATGTGTGTCTCTCAATGCAGGTTGAGTGTTCCTCATCTGGAAAACAGGAATCCTCTAAAATTCCACAACTGTCCACAGAGACAACTGAGAAAGTACCACATTTGCTTTCTGATGGTTCAATCTATGCAAGCTTCATGCAAAATTTCTATGATTTCTCATTATTTATATGCAAATATTCCAAAAATTCAAAATCCAAAACACTTCTGTTTCCAAGCATTTTAGATAAGGGATTCTCAACCGATAGCACCTCAATATTTATGAGTATTCTCATTCTTGAACCAAGTGCTCATATTTTTGAATGAAGAAAAAAGAGAGAAGGAGAGAAATAATATTTTCATTGCAAAATCACATTATTGAATATATACAATCTATCCAGTGTGCGTGCACATTTCCTAGCTGAAACATTACTACATACCAGGACAACATGTGGCAAGTTGCAGCTGTTCCTTTACTCTACAGACATTCCTGCCTTCAATATACATTTCTGCCTTGAAGATCCTTGCTTATAGTGCACTTTGTTAAATGTAATCATAGCTACTCATATCTCACCCTGGTGTCCTCCATTGTTTTCAAGGGAATCAAGAGTAAAATCAAGCAGCACGGCTTGAAATAAATCTATATGTCTGTGTTTATCTTTTTAAAGGCACAACTAGGAGCTGTAAGAGAGGAAGCTGTAATCTAAAGGTGTCTAGAAGACACAATTAGGGAGATAAGTGTTTTATTGTGATTGTTTATCTAGTGGATGAATATACTAGTTTTTCCTGGTTTTCTGTAAACCTGTCACAACAAACACCAAATATCCCTGGGTCTCCAATCAGACTTCAGTGTTTTTCCTCCCTGTCTCCAAATATTATTCTTCTTTCTTAGTTGTTTGTGGTCTCTGAAAATTTCTCATTCCTAGTTGCAGTATTTCTTTAAAGGAGTGTACATTCATGTCCCTGACGCTGGACATTAGTAAGATTGATGAGGGGCCTCGGCACCTACTTAAGCAATTCATAAATAGTGGTATATATTCTTCCTCTCCAACCTCATGAGAATCTGGCCTTGATTTTTTCAAATCTAGTGAGCAAACAAGTCACCCCCAGCCTATGCTGCTGGAACAGTGGCTTAATCATAAACATTTGGAAAGCCCATTAAAAAACTATTAATTAGGGTGTGGTCTGAAACCAAATTAAAAGCATGGCTGACATTAACCAGGGTTAGTCTGTGTAAGGTCAAAGGAAGCAGGGAAGCAGACCTATCTGTTCCACACTTGGAAATATTATGGCATATACTCAGCTATAAGCTGATAAGTTAAAGGTATGTTTTGGCCAGAATTATTGAATTTGTTATGATCTATGGGTATGCCAAGGGTAAAACTGAGGGACATGTGACAAAGGATACAAAGGATGGAGGAAAGAAAAATGATGCCAAAGAACTTAGGAAGTTCTGGCAAGCATAGCTATTTGTATTCAACTTAAGACTGAATGGATGATGAGGTAACTCAAATATGGTCAGTGATGTGTGGGATGCTTCCTTTGGACTGCTTGCTCATGCAAGCTTCTGCTTCCAGTGTGTTATGTTTATATACAGTGATACCTTGACATACGAGTTAAATTCATTCTGCAACCAAGGTCATAATTCATTTTGCTCGTATGTCAAAGCAAATAGCCTTGTTGAAATGAATTGAAATTCAATCAATCTGTTCCCGCCCACAGACCAATGCAATTTCCCCCTCGGTCACAGAACAAGTTATCATAAAATGAACAATTTTAGTCTCCTCCCCCTCCCTCCCTGTTGGAGGCCTCGCCGGTGATGCTACCTGTTGGAGACCAAGCTGGAGGTCGAGCTGGAGACCTCCTGGTGGCAGAGGAAGCACTGAGGGGTTTGGGGTGGCTCTTCTCTGAAGGCCGCAAGCAGGTCTTGAGGTGGGACTGGGGCTAGCCTGGTGCTTGCTGGAAAAGGAGGCCCTCTCAAAGGCTGTGAGCCGGCCTCCCATGCTCGCACTACTTACAAGCAACCAGACATATGAAATCTTTGAGATACGAGTTGTCACTCAGCCTATTTCTTGCTTTGATATGTGAAAAGATATCTGAGTTACAAGCTGTGCATCCAGCACCTAGAGGAAGAGAAAGCTCTGTGTCCTGCCAAAGGCTGCATGCAGGCCCTGCACTGGGACCGGAGTGAGCTGTGCTTCTGGCAAACGAGGAGGCCCCGCTGAAAGCCACGAGTTGGCCCTGCTTAAGAAGGCAGGTACTCTCATACCACCACTACTTCTCGCGAGAGAGCCACCCCAAGCCTCGCGAGAGGTAGTACTAGTGCAGAACCTGCTCACGGTCTTTGGTGGGGTGAGGAGCGTGCTCCTCTGCCAGGTGTCAGAGACATGCCTTCTAACTCGGATTGCTGCTCACATCTCAAAGTGAGAAACGGACCAAGCAATAGCTATGCTGATAATTTTATAATTATTTTAAAATAGTTCATGTTGGCTATTGGATGAGTTGTCAATTATTCATTCTGTTTCAGTTGCACAAACTGATAATATTATAATGTAATGCAATATGCTACTACTACTAATAATATGATATTATCATTATATATTTTATATTAAATGTAATATTACTATTACAGTATAATGTTATAGTACAATGTAATATATAATATTAATATTGTGCTATGATAATAATATAATATATTGTATTTACTTTTTACTTGTAAGCCTCTCTGAGTCCCCTTTGGGGTGAGAAGGGTGGCATATAAATGTCATAAATAAATAAATAAATAACTCAAAAAAAATCGTACATCCTGTTGCTCGTAATTTGATGTATCACTGTACATTAGACCACGTATTATATGAATTCATTGAATGTGGTTTCATGTATATGTGAAGAGCTTTGGGTACCATAGAATTCCTGTGGAAGACCTAGAAAATGTTGAGAGAAATATTATCTCTAGGTCTCCAGCATGATCTATGGCTAACACCCACCAGATGTTGAATGTAGAATTGTGCTTCAGGCCTAAAGAGAACACACCTCTAGGCATTTTCCAGGTCCATTAGCAAGATTCTATGGTATGTCATGGCCGAGATCCTGAGACATTGTTCATTTCAGATAAGAAAAACAAGATTCTAGATTACACAAAAAGTGTATTACATGAAGAGCTACCAAAATGAATCTCTTGAGTAATATATGGGCTCGTTGTATTATAATTTATCATGGTATCAGAGAGATTACATGAATTCATGAACTATGTATAGGTAAAATATAAAATCCTACTTGTTTTATTGGGCTCTGAGCTATTAAAAGCTGGCAAAGTGTTGTTTGCAACTCTAGCTGATCCTATGAAGCAGTATTGTGTTAATCTAGTTCATGTTGGCTATTGGATGAGTTGACAATTATTCATTCTGTTTCACTTGCACAAATGCAATGGTGGCACAATGGGTTAAACCTTTGGCCTGGCAGGACTGCTGGCTGAAAGGTCAGCAGTTCGAATCTGGGGAGCAGGGTGAGGTCCCATCTGTCAGCTCCAGCTTCTCATGTGGAGACATGAGAGAAGCCTCCCATAGGATGGTAAAACATCCAGGCATCCCCTGAGCATCGTCCTTGCAGACGGCCAATTCTCTCACACCAGAAGTGACTTGCAGTTTCTCAAGTCACTCCTGACACATGCACAAAAAAAAGTTGCACAAGTGGTGGTTTCCTCCATGTTTGCTAGTTTGAGTAAGGTTTTCTGTGGGGGTTTTTATTAGCAAATCTGATAATTACACATACAGTAGCTCTACATTTTCCTTCAGAGACCTGTGGCTTTGTATCATGATACCTTGTAGATTTCAGTTATGAAATCTCTGCCGGGGCTGTTAATCTTATCAGAAGGAAAAAATAAAACCGCAAGGCTTCTGCTGTCCCTGAGATGCAGGGTTCTGGGGAAAAATGGCCAATACTAAAATCACTCAATTGAGAAACTGCTCTTTCAAGATATTAAGAAATTGGGAGATGAGCTGTTTGCCACATTTAGAGATGTATTACCTCAGTAGTGCATTTGTTTCTTGCACGAAGTAAAGGAAAACTACTCGATTGATCAACACAATGCTTATAATGTGATTTTAATTATTGAATCAGCTCTAAATGAAATCCCTTCTTTCATTTCAGTTGATGTCCATCACTGTGTTAGGTGTTTCTGCCTGGATGAGGGACTACTTGAATAATGTTCTCACTTTAACTGCAGAAACAAGGTAGGCATGTCAGGTTGCAAATACCTCACCAATTTGTGTGTAGCTGGAATTTGAAGGTGGACAATGATTTTCTCTATATCAGCCCTACATTAGTATACTTACATTTTCTGTAATATCTCCAGAGCTTGGAAACAGTATGTGACAAGTATTAACATTACCTATACTTTCAATTGCTTAGAGTCCTTTCAGAGTTCATATTCTTATCCTAAACAGTCTGAACAGCCTTTTGAAGCACCTTCTTCTCCTTGCTTCTCCCTTTTTTTGATATGCCTTACCATAGAGAAACACATCCCCCATTATTTCCAAGCTGCAAATCACAAGACATTTATCTCATTCTCACATCAGGAATTACTGCCTGAGTCTCATCTCCTTCTCACTGAACTCTACATTTCTGAAAGCCCTTATCTCCACCTGTTGTATACACTGTTCATTTGCTCTGAATTCCCCTTCTCCACATGGATTGAAAAACCAAATAAGTTATTTAGCTAAACATCTGCTTTAAAAGTTTACACATGCCCTATATTTTTTCCAGTACCAAAAAGTGCCACTGGACTAGGAGCAAACCTGCCAGTTTCTTTACTCATATGAAAGATTTCAGTTATTGACCTAGATGTCCCCTATCTGTGTGCAATGGTCCTAATCCCGATTAGAGTTAAGTGTATTGGCTCTAGAAAAATGAAAAACAAGAATTGGAAACTGTCTGCTATGTAATTGATGTAACACACAGTTGGTTTATCCATCTAAGTCCAACATTCAGTTTCTGTCAGTTGCTAGAAAAATGACACTGTGACTCATAACACAATGTAACAAAATTTGAAAAAAAAAACCTGTTCCTGGTTTGAAAATGTTATTATTCCTGTTTGTGGTTGCTCGAAACTATGTTGAATTGGTTGAGTACCTGTGAGATATTCATTGAAAAACTAGAGCAAAATGTTCTGCAGGATGTCCTGCTAAAACAAAATTTGTGCAGTTTAATAAATGTTTTCCATGTTTTATGATAGAACCACTTAGGAAATGACATTTATAACCCAGGAACAAATATTGTGTTACGCCAGTGGCTCCCTGTCTGTGGTCCATGGACCACCAGTGGCCAGCAAGAACGAAAATATGGTCCGTGGCCTCACCATTACTACACCGTTGCCTCAAAACCATGCGGCAATGAGAGCGACTGGTCTCTCGAAACCCTCTTATAGTGCCAAGGCAACAGGGATGTCAGGAGAGGAGAGGCTGACTACTCACGAAAGATTGCTACTACTGCAACAGCTCCAGATTATTAAATATGGTTTTCTGTGCACATGGAGATGGTGATTACTGGATGGCATATGTTTTGTATCAGAAACTAGAGCTGATGTGGTCTATCCAATTCAGTTTTCTGAATCAGCATCTCAAATAACCAAACCAAATCTAAAGTTGACCCAAACCTAATTTGTAACCCTTTTGGTACTAATGTTGGAGAGTGGTCCCTTGTTAGAGTGGTCCCTGCTCAAAGTGGTACCTGCTCAAAAAAAGGCTGGAAACCATTGTGTTACATAGTGTAATCATTGAATCATAGAGATTTAATGAGCATCATAGCCCATTGAATACAACCTTGATGCAGTAATTCCAGATAAATAATCTCCAACATGTAGCTGCCTACCTTCTTTTTAAAGATGTCCAGAGAAGGAGGCCCTACCATTGCTCTTCACTGCTGGATTGCTCTTACTATCTCATATTTCATTGAAATCTACTTTTCTCTAACCTAAAATAAGTAGACCTGGTTCTACCCTCTGAGGCAGCAGAGAGCAAATTTGACCCTGCTCTCTGAGATAGACCTTTAGATATATAAAGAATTCAGTCATATCTCCCCTCAATCTTCTTTTCACAGTCTTAACATGCCTCACATTTTCAGCCTTTCCTCATACGTTTTGTTCTCCATAAATCTTATTGCCCTTACTGCCTTTGAACCTGCTCCAATTTATTTATAAAATGAAACACCCAGAACTGAATGCAGATCCCAGAAGACACATTATTAGCACATAGTATAGTGAGACTATTAATTTCCTCCTCTTGGAAACTATGGCCCTATTTACATTGCCATATAAAATCATCTACTTTGAACTGGATTTTATGGCAGTGTAGACTCATAATCCAGTTCAAAGACAGTAATGTGGATTATCTGATTTGATAATCTGGATTATATCACAGTGTAGATCCATCCTATAATACTGTTAAATCAGGTTAAAATATTATTTGCCTTCTTTATTGCAGCATCACACTTCTGTATCATGTTCAATTTATTATCAACAATAATCCCAAATACTAATACTACTAAGCCAAGTGTTCCTCATCCTTGAGTTGTGTTTTTGGCAGATTGTAAGGACAACCGTTCTCTCTGATTATATATTCATTAAATAATCAGAGATATCTAAAAATTGAACTCCTTTATAAAAAATCTGTAATGGCTGAGGAAAAGCATGATCCTCTAAAAAAGATTGGAGAAGTACTTTTGGGAGCTGTAGTTTCCAGAATCTCCCAATGGCTATGTCAGTTGAGAAATTTGGAGTTGTAGTCCAACAAATGCCTAGCTTCTTCTCCAGCAACCTCCAATCTTATTTGAAGGGCAAAATACATTCTTGTCCCTGATAACTAGAATTTCCTGGAGTGTCAATCTATTGCAATGCTTAGAGTGCAGGACAATGTCTTTTATTTACTGAAATATACTGAACAATATGTAATTTAAAATCTGTATATAGCAGTATGGGTTGGTATAAACTAATTACAAGTTAATGAATGAAGAATTCTGAGAAGCAATGAACTTTTCTGAGTTATGCTATTTTTGTCTAGATTAAAATGACATGATTCTGCCATAATGGTACACTACTGTTAAGAAAATGCTTTCTGCATTCTGTAATGGGATGACCAGTATATTTTGAAATGCTGTGCTTTCTGAGGGGAGCAGGGTTCAATTCTATTAATCACATCTATTTTTTATTTGCCCTCAGGGTGGAGGAAGCAGTTATTTCCACTTATTTTCCAGTTGTCCACCCAGTCATGATTGCAGTCTGCTGTTTCCTTATCATTGTTGGAATGCTGGGTTATTGTGGAACAGTGAAAAGAAACCTCTTACTGCTTGTATGGGTAAGGTTTCTTTTTGTTCGTTGGTGTGTTGCTTAGCAAATGTTTGATCAAAGAAAAAGTATACCGGCCACCATTGTCACCAAACTAATGCTGGAACCTGCAATGAAATCCTGTTCTGCGGGTACCAAGTTGAGACCAGCCTCATGATTCAGGCGTCTGTTGAATCACCACATCTCAAAAGTTGGTTTATTGCTGAACTCTCTTATTGTTGCTACCTGTTCAAGTGTGAGCAGAGGCGAGGGCAAGAAGATAGAGACCAAGTACATCTAAGAGCTCTAGATTGAAGTTCTGACTGAGCTATGAAACGCGTTCTCTGACCTTGGCCAAGTCTCAATCTTTCTCTGTGTCAGGGTTATTATGAAGACAAAGGAAGGAAAGGGGAGAACTCTGTACGATACCTTATTCTCTTTTGAGAAACGTCAGACTAGAAATAGATGTGATGTAAATAAATAAATGGATTCTCTACCCGTGGATTCAATCATCCATAGCTTTAAAATATTTTTTAAAATCCCAAATGCAGGAATTCTGCAGGAGGCAGAAAACGGGATATTAAGTGGATTTTTTCTCTGAGGAAGTAGCTAGTCTCCAGGGCAGCAGAAAACAAGCTTGCTCCCTCCTTCCTATGATTTCCCCTCACATATTTATACATGGCCATCATGGTCATCCTCTTAATCTTCTCTTCTGCAGGCTAAACATGCCTAGCTCTTTAAGCCACTCCTCATAGGGCTTGTTCTCCAGTCCCTTAATCATTTTAGTTGCCCTCCTCTGGACACATTCCAGCTTGTCAACGTCTCTCTTCAATTGTGACCAGAATTGGACACAATATTCCAAGTGTGGTCTGACCATGGCAGAATAGAGGGGTAGCATGACTTCCCTGGATCTAGACACTATACTCCTATTTATGCAGAACAAAATCCCATTGGCTTTTTTAGCTGCCCCATTACACTATAATTTCAATTTGAGGTGTAGGCCAGATCTATAGTAAGAGGGTCAGGCAAATTGACAGGGAGGAAGACACGGGAGAACTAGGTGCATTTTATCTCAGTAACTTCAGAAATGTGGAGCGAGTGTGCCTTTCTGTCTTCTTTCCTGCTTGTCCCTTCCTCACTCATGGAAGTTGCATTGCTTAGAAGGTCATCATAGCCTAGGTCCTGCCCAGGGTTCTTTTACTATACTACAGTTTCACTATATTCCATGGTTTCACACTATTGAATTCAAGGATGTCAAGGGAAGGGCATTTAGAATTCTTATGCAGAGAATCCTTGCCTTTCCAGATTGCAGACTGCAGAATTCCATAGGGTGTTGCCGTGGTTCTTAAAGTGGTGTGAATTCTATAGTGTGAAAGGGCCCAAGCTTTCAGTCTGCTTTGGAGTTTTAGCAAAACACATTTTCTAAATTTTGCAGTATCCAGAATTGTAATCCCCCTTCCCCTCTGAATCTTTAGACTGACTGATGCTCTGTTTACCATTTATTATTTATTGTGTGCAGTGTATTCAAATAACAAAACAAGTGAAAAATGGAGCACAATCCTTTCTTTCTTCCTTCTTTCCTTTGTTTATTATAAATGATAGAAAAGTATAGGAATCTGTTACTGCTTTTAAATACAATCTGAAGTAAACACATGTACCCTGTGTAAAGCTATCAAACTTCATTAAATCAACCCTAGACATTCCTGGAGCTCTTAAGATACCATATTTCACTCTCAGGAGCCTGAGAGCCAGCTCTGGCTGTCCCAACAGATAAGCAAGAAATAAACGATCTTTTCCTAAGTATGCCACACTTCTTGACTAATTATTAAATAAGCAGTGTAGTGTTATATTGCCAGAGATGTGTGAGTAAGTAGTCCATTCATCACACTAATCAGAAAAATAAGCAATGGCTCAACAGAACAAGCTTTTGTCAAACCAGATGAACTGAAAGATAAAGAAATAGTTCTGAGGGCTGAAATGATTAATTTGAATACCCGCTAAAGATAAATAATGTATTTTTTAAAAGTAGTCCCAAGAAGTGCTTGTAAAACATAAAAGGTAAAGGTTTCTCCTTGACATTAAATCTAGTCGTGTCCGACTCTGGGGGGTGGTGCTCATCTCTGTTTCTAAGCTGAAGAGCCAGCGTTGTCCATAGACACCTCAAAGGTCATGCGGCTGGGATGACTGCATGGAGTGCTGTTACCTTCCTGCCAGAGCGGTACCTATTGCTCTACTCACATTTGCATGTTTTTGAATTGCTAGGTTGGCAGAAGCTGAGGCTAACAGTGGGAGCTCACCCCGCTTCCCGGATTTGAACTGCTGACCTTTCGGTCAGCAAATTCAGAAGCTCAGCGGGTGCTCCTTGTAAAGCATAGTGATATAATATTATAGGAAAACTGCATCCAAGTTTCCCTTTCCATTTTAGTGCGACCAAGAGACCCTGAAAGAAGTAGGCTTAGTAGATGAATTACCTGTGGCAGACAGGCTAGATTTATCAAGGGTTGTATCTGTTGGAGTGGAGCAGACAGGGCCATGTCGTTGCAGATAAGAACTCTTCCCCCAAATAACTTTTCTTTCAGTCCCCAGATTTCCAGCCTTGAAGAGAACGAATCACTGAATCCTTTCAGTTTTTCATGGGATACCAATCATAGGAACATATGCATTGCATGAAAGAATATCAGGTTTAGTGTCTGACATTCAGAGCCAAAGAACAATCAGGTTATCATGTAAAGTCAAAGATCCTTGTCTTTGGAAAGCTGCTGCCACTTAAATTGGACAGTCCTGGGTAATGCGGTCTTAAATAGCTTCTTGTTTTCTGGGAAAGTGATTGTGTGTCATTGATTTTTGTGTTGAAAAGCACTTCATGGGGGAAAGGGAGAGTCAGAAAGTAATTGTTGATGAGCAAATGAGAAAGACAGAGGAAATACGTGAGGAAAGGAAGAGAAAGAGAGGATCAGAGAGATGGCCATAGAACACTTCCAAACCAGTGTTGTTACTGACAGAACAGCCAAAACAAAAGTAGGGTGGGATGGAAGAATATAGTAGAAATAGATTACATACACATCTGCAGATATTCTTGCAGACCTCCAGATGCTTATGTCTATATCCCACCATCCATGCTCATTGACGATATCAGATGGATCTGATGAGATTGATAATTCGGTATATCCAGAGCATTGCTTCTTAAACTGTGGTTCCAGAAAAAAAAGAAAAGAATGAATTCCAATGCACACTGCACATATCTTATTTGTAGTGCAAAACATTTAAAAACAATACAATAATTAAAATGAAGAAAATTTTAAACAAATATAAACTTATTAGTATTTCAGTGGGCAGTGTGGGTCTGCTTTTGGTTAATGAGATAGGGTTATTGTTTTTGTTGTGTGCTTTCAAGTTGTTTCAGACTTAGGTTGACCTTGAGCCAGGGCCAGGCAAATGACCTTGGAGGGCCGTATCCAGCCCACAGGCCTTAGTTTGAGGACCTCTGTTCTACATTGTATCCCTTCAAATATTTAAAAAGAGTTATCACATTATTTCTCACTCTTCTCCAAGCTTCCTATACCAATTCCCTAAATCATTCTTCATCAAGTTTGGTTTCTACATCTTTGGTCATTTTGGTCACCCTTCTCTAGATATGATTCAGCTTGTCAATATTCTCCTTGAATTGAGGCCCTCATAACTTGATATATTATTCTTGGTAAAGTCTGACCAACACAGAATAGAGTGGCCTTGCTGCCTCCTACCTCTTGACACTATGTTCCTATTGATGTAGCCCTGCCACATGCACAATGGAGGATCTCCTTATAGCAACACCAGAGGCATTCCAAGTGGTCAGCTACTGGTCAAAGGACATTTAGTATAATGCTGTGTTTAATTTTCTTTGTGTTTTTAAATACATTGCAATTGTACCCTCAATTCACTTCTTGCACGATAAAGAAATAAATAAGCCTAGAATTGCATTTACCTTTTTTTACCGGTGCATAATATGAGATAGGATGAAATAGGTTATCTCAGTTCAAGCATTTTATTGGGGAAAAGCTTATACATTCACCAATCTTCTGCATTTTCATCTTTTCATTCTATGTTATGGGGTAAGAATTTATTTTAAGAGCAATATCTTTGTTTTAAGTGGAATTTCCCCCCGCCATAAGGATTTGACTATACAAAAAAGTAGATGTAGACATCAGTTGTTAGATGGAGACTATCTTATTAATGCCATCAGATGAGCTGAATAATGTGCAGCTTTGATTCCTAGACAATGGTTATTGAAGGATTTTGTCAGAAGCTGCTCTAATAGGATTTCTTAGTCTCTGTAATACTTGCATTTATCTTTTTCTGTCATGAATATTGTTCATAAATAGTTTTCATATACTGAGACATATCTCTGACTGTAGCATTCTATTTATTTATTTATTTATTTATTTACTCCATTTGTATACCGCATTTATCAGCCTGCAACGGCGACTCAATGCGGTTTACAGTAAAAAAGGGGAACACTGACAATATATAAGACGCACATACACAAACAACACACAAAGTCATCAACGCCTCAATTAGAATCAGATCCCGTTCTCATAGTCCTTTTTTGTTCCTTGTTCAATGCCGTCTTACTGAGTTAGTTGTCATTGCATAGTTGTCCAAACGCCTGCTCATAGAGCCACGTCTTAACCCTCCTCCGAAACACCAGCAACAAAGGGGCCTGCCTGATGTCCACTGGTAGGGCATTCCATAGCCGAGGGGCCACCACTGAGAAGGCCCTGTCTCTCGTCCCCGCCAACCACGCTTGAGACGCCGGCGGGACCGAGAGCAGGGCCTCCCCGGACGATCTTAAAGTCCTCGTCGGTTCATAGGTGGAGATGCGTTCGGAGAGGTAGGTGGGGCCGGAATATATTGGGCTTAGATCTAAAACAAATAGTCTCAGAAACTACTTAGATCACTCTGATATTGATCTCCTACAGTTAGTGATTTTTAGATGGGGGCAGTTTTAAATGCAGTGAACTTTCAGCATATTATCTACCCTTTAAAATGGAG